CCCCAATTCTCACGCGCCCCTCTTCACTCTCCTCCCACCAACCCATTTGTGTATGCCTCTCTCTCTCTCTCTCTCTCTCTCTCTCTCTCTCTCTCTCTCTTCCCACCTTCGCCTGAACTCTTCCCTTGCTCCGTACCCCACGCAACCTTTGCCCTCCCTCCAGCCGACCTCACCATGCCGTCTTTCCCCTCCTCTTCCTCTTCACATGCTCGTCCCCCCCTTACCTCTTCCCTTCCTCCATATGTCACTCAACCTCTAAACTACGTTCTGCTTTCTGTCCTCCCTCCGCCCTACTTCTCCCTGCCGCCTCCCTTTTCTCCCTGCCTCCTCTTGACCTTCTCTTAAAACCTCCCTCTGCCCTCCCTTCACCTGGCCACCTCACTTCCCTTCCTTCGTCCAATCTCCGCCTGACCTCCTTCCCTCGATCTCCTCCGTCCTCCTCCTTCCTCCTTCCTCTGCCCGACTTGCACTGACCTTCTCCTTCCCCCAATCTCCTTCCTCCGCTTCCTTCCTTTGCCTGATCTCTACCTGAACTCCTGCTTCCGCCCTACTCTCTGCCGCCTTTCCCCTGCCTACTGGCCTCCTCCGCACTTCCTCTTCTGGCCTCCTCCGCACTTCCTCTTCGACCTCCCACTGGCCTCCGTCCGCCTGGCCTCCTCATTCCCCTTCATCCGCCCCCTTCATTCGCCCGATCTCTGTCTGCCCTCCTTCCCCCAATCTACTTCCTCAGCCTGATCACCACCTGACCACCTCCTTCCATTCCTCCCTCCGTTGTACTCCCTACCTGCCCCTTCCTCCCTCAACTGGCGGCCCTCCTTTCATAACGCCCGAGCCAGTGGACGTAAACGCTCCATTTGTTATCAAGATCGCTCCATTTCTTTTAAAGATCTCAACACCGTTGCACACGCTCAAGAAGGAGAGAGGGAAAGCAGGAGAGAGAAAAACGCATTTCACCTAACACATTTCCTCCTCTCGCTCTTCCTTGACGCAAATTGAGAAAGCTAAGAAAAACGGACCGCACTCTCTATATCATTCCCAGATAAGGTAGCACGACGGGAGGGAGGGCAGAGAACCGAGGAAGGTAACGCCACCGGAGGAAGGAGCGCAAAGGCGACAGAGGGAAGAAGGAACGAGAAAGAGAGGAAGAAGGGAGGGCCGATGATGAGCACCAAAAGCACGTCTGGATGGATTCACGATGAGCACGCAT